GTTTGTTTGTTTTATTTGTTTTGTTTTGTTTTGTTTTATTTTATTTTACTTTTTTCTGTTTTTTTATTTTGTTTCGTTGTTTATTTGTTCTGTTTTTCTATTCTATTTTGTTTATCTTTTTTGTTTGTTTGTTTTATTTATTTATTTATTCATTTTATTTATTTATTTATTTTTTTATTTCACGTTTTGTTTATTTATTTATTTGTTTTAGTATTTATTTTTTTGTTTATTGTTTTATTTGTTTGTTTGTTTGCTTTTATTTATTTATTTATTTTATTTATTTATTCATTTATTTTACTGTTTTATTTGTTTATTTATTTGTTTGTTTATTTATTTATTTTTTTTTTTTTTATTTTTTTATATTTTTATTTTATTTATGATTACTAAAATTTTGTTTATTACCAGCCGATGATTTGTTGCAGCAGCTGCTGCTGCTGCTGTTGCTGCTGCTGCCGTTGCTGCTGTTGCTGTTGCTGTTGCTGCTGCTGCTGCTGCTGTTGTTGTTGATGCTGCTGCTTCCGCTCTTGCTGCTGCTGCTGTTGTTGGTTTATTTGTTTGCTTCGACTGTTCTACTGCTGCTGCTGCTGCTACTGCTGCTGCTGCTGCTACTGCTGCTGCTGTTGCTGCTGCTGCTGCTGCTGCTGTTGCTGCTGCTGCTGCTGCTGCACTTTGTAACCTTCTTAATTTGTACTGATTTCTCTGTCTTCTCTGTTTCTGTTTCTGCTGCTTCTCCTTCTGCTGCTGCTGCTGCTGTTGCTACTGCTACTACTGCTACTGTACTACTACTACTACTACTGCTGCTGCTGCTGCTGCTGCTGCTGCTGCTGCTGCTGCTGCTGCTGCAGGGCGTGCGTTTCGTCATCTGTCTCGGTTGCACTGTCTGCTGGGTCTTCCTTTTTCTGAGCGCTGCGATAAAATAATTCAGAGAGTGTTGGAGCGGCATCACTCTCGGCTGCATGCATTGCTGCAGCAGCAGCAGCAGCAGCAGCAGCAGCAGCAGCAGCAGCAGCAGCAGCAGGAGGGGGGAGGAGAGGAGACACACTACTGGGGGAGAGGGGCCGGCGAAGACAGACAGCTGCCTTTTCTTTCTCCCGTTTTTTCTGCTCTCTCGCAGCTGCCTGATCAGCTGCAGCAGCAGCTGCAGCAGCTGCAGCAGCAGCAGCAGCAGCAACAGCAGCAGCAGCAACAGCAGCAGCAGCAGCAGCAAGAAACAGCACATGCTGAAAAACTCAGAGATACTGTAGAAGAAATGTTATTTCAAACATCAATGCTGCTGCCACAGGCCCAGCTGCAGCAGCAGCAAGAGCAGCAGCAGCAACAGCAGCAGCAGCAGCAGCTGCTGCTGCACCTAGAGGAGGAGGAAGAGGAAGCAAACGAGCAGCAGCAGCAGCAGCAGCAGCAGCAGCAGCCTGTTAGTTTCTTGCGGCATTTCTCCCCTTTCGGAGATTCTTTTTATAGATCACATGAAGACGAAGCAGCAGCAGCAGCAGCAGCAGCAGCAGAGGAAGAGGTGGAGCAGCAGCAGCAGCAGCAGCAGCAGCAGGAGCAGCAGGAGCAGCAGGAGCAGCAGCAGCAGGATGCTGATGAGGAGCTGCTGCAGCAAGAAGCAGCAGACGCGCTGCAGCAGCATCTGGG